GTCGTTGCCAAGCGACGAAAACCCAACCCCGATGGCAAACACCGGAGGGAGACGCCGGGAGAGGGGTGGCTATTACAACGATTCGAGGAGAAACGACATGGGACGGGGTGCATATGGGGCTTATATGCCGGCCACATCTTGTACCCGGCAGCAGCAGCAGCAGCAGCAGCACATACAGACACCACGGACTCCTACAAGCCTCCTGATCCGTCAACTACGCTGGGTCTCGATCGGCGGCCCCGTTCGATGCTACAGCAGTCAGTCCTGTTTGTTGCGGTTCGTAAACCTTCCAACAGCTACAGTTTCTCACCCACTGTGAATAGACGGTACTTAAGCGGTCCCCTGATGGAGGCCTCGTGTCGGAGGGAGGGGGACATGACCAGGGTTGGCACCGTCAGCTCCAGAGGATACCTGTTTTATATTTATTTTTTTCACGGGAGAACGCGGATGTACGTTGCCACGACGAGAGCCAACATACAAACTCATTGATAGCACGGACCGCCTGCGCGGGAAATCAAGTGGTTTGAGGAAATAGAAACGGGAGGAGGGACGCAGACCCTGTTCCCTTACCCTAACCTTCACCCAACTTCCCCCGGTTGCATGCTTTATCGAATACATTTTACTACAAATTAAAACCCTTCGAAGGCTACTGGATAGCACAGAAGCACAATCAGCAACTACATTTAACGCAAGTAGCTGCCAAGAGAGTTGAGGCATCTACATGGCGAAAAAAAATCAAGAACGGGCAAGGATTGAGCACCCACCTGACGCGCCGGGCGAGCTTGCGCGGGCCAAGCTCTGGGTGGAAGGAGAACTGCTTCAGGTGCAGCGTTAATACCTTGGGGGCCTGCTCTAGAGTAAGCGTTCGTGATGCCTTCACCTGTCACAAAACATGACGTGGACAAGGAATCCAGCACACGATTGGGCAGGGAATCGGACACGAAGCACAATGCATGTACTATCTTGGGCCGGACACACTAGAAGGCGTGAGATGGCCTTTGTTGGTCCCCTTTTCAAGACATGACATTTTTATTACCGGCCGGTGGGTTAGCACGGCCGAGGCCACCCGAAAACACCACGCAACAACACGCAAGCAACACGCACTAAACGCTTGCCATGCGGGGACAGAACCACCGTCACGAAACCCTCACCGCCGGCCCGCCCAACCGCGAGCCCCCCGCTCTTCCCACGCACCTCCAAATTCCTCTTCCCCTTAACGCCCGCCACGGCCTCGCCTCCGAACAACGCTGATAGGGCTGCTTCCAACACCGTGACTCCCGCCCCGGGGGCCGGCGGCACCGTCCCACCCCCCCCCGCGCCCCCAGCCCCGCCCCCCCTCCCGGCCGCGGGTCCCCCGAGTCCCCGCTGCCCGCGGCTTCCCGCCATGCCCCAGGCACCACCAGCGCCTCCTCCTCCTCCTCCTCTTCCTGTAGGAAAACAAGTTGGAATCAAGACGACAGAAGCACGACGTACGCGCCGCGCCACGTAGCAAGCTGACAGCTATCATAGTGTGAATCTGAAAAAAAGCCAAAGCATGAGACGATGAGACGATGAGACGCTTGACCGCAAGACCAGGTACCCCGAATCCTACATCTAACACCAAAACGGTCGATTTTGTGTGTGTGTGTGTGTGTGTGTGTGTGTGTGTGTTTTTCTCCTATTTATTATGGCGACATTCCCCCCATTTTTCGTGGTGAGACGTGTCCTACACTCTTTCAGCGAACGTAGAGTACTCTACACTTTTCAACGTATTTTTTCGTACAAATACAACCATCCAGGGTCACACAGGAGGGGGTAAACACCAGGGCTTTTTTCTTCATTTTTCTTTATTTTCACGGCCCACCTTCCCCCCCCCCCCCCCCCCCCCCCCCCC